CCGATATCCACTAGCGGCGGCCGATCCTTGCCGCGTCGAAAGTATATGTAACATTCAGTGGTGCGTACCGAGCCATGATTAAGATTCGCCGGCAGTCCCGTTGGTGTGTGCTCCAACAGCTCAAAGCCATCGGGCAGTTGCTCGCCCAGCAGCGGAAAGAAAACGCCAATGTCCGTGATGGGCTCAATTGTATTGGCCGCACGCAGTCGGCCCGAGTCATTGAATATGTTGTCCTGCAGCAGCTGCGGCTGCTCGGGCATGCCGGCCACCACAAAGTAGTCCGCTATGCGCTTCTCCTCCATATCTTATGCTGTAATCGGTCGTGTGTTTGTTTCAACTGCAAAGAAATGCCAAAAAGGGTAAACTTTAAGTTTGGTGATTAGATAAAACGGACGGGTAGACACAGCCACGGAGTCAAGTCGCGAGCGGCAGCTGGCGCAAATCTTTGTTTACATTGCCGACATCGCTGCTATCGCCGAAAGCTGATTGTAAATGCGCACAAGTCGAATGAAAATCAAAGTAATAATAAAAATAACTAAGCGACTTTGCTGGAATCTCGATACGAACGGCGTCGCTGTCGTGGACTTTGTTGTTGTTGCTGGTTTGTATTATGCTGCGACCACAGCTTACAACAAAAACAAGTTCCGCATGATGATTCAACGACGTTTCCGCTGCTATTGCTGCCGTTCAATGCCAGGCCTTTTGTTTTGTTGCTGCTGATTTGGTTTTTGTTTACAGGAATCGAAATTCGCTCCCGTTGCGGTTGTTTCAGACTCGTATGCAAAACTTACAAATCCGCTGCTGTCTTTTTGGTCGTCGTTGTTGCAGCTGCTGAAAAAAGCGCTGCTGCGTCTTTGATTTCAGTTTTCAGTTTTCGACGTCGTTTCTGCAACTTCTTCACACTACGTTAATTTCTACACAGCGTTGCACAAACACACACACACACGCATACACACGTTCATACTGACAAGACACGAAATCATACATACATATCGATATGTAGGCGGCGACATTCGCCCACTTGCACTTTGTCTTGACTTTGTGCCCTTAACTATCGCGCGTCTTTTGTCCAATTTGTTACGTCGCAGCCGTTTAATGCATGCGAAATCGTAATCAATTGAAAGCTAGTGTTGTTGATATATCGCACATCGCTTACATGAAATTTCGATATTACAGTATATGTATCGATTATTATTATTTATGTTATTTATTAATAGTGGGACTCCTGAAACTAATTTAGATATGATTTAGATTTCGGTGATCAGCTGTTCACAGCTGCTCCAATCAAGTGTGTAGTGGGCCCAGAATAAGTAAAGAAATTTGGGCCGCACTAGGCGATTTAATGAAGTCAGTTCCAAAGATATTTTGATTTAGATTTCATATCATTGTGCTTTATTGACCGTTCTTCATAATTCTTTGCTTAAGTAAGCCCAGCTAGAGAACATCCAAATGAGTCGGAGGCGGTGTCTATTTCATTTAATTCTTCACTAGGACTCCATTCCCGGTGGTACCACCTAACTCTATTTCGTATTTTGTTAAATTGCAGCAATTAAAAGTTGCTGATATCCCGAATTCTGGATGCCGCGCTGCAACAACGAATTGCCGATAGTTTTGCACTATCGCCATCGCTTCGAGATGAGTGAATATGAGCTCTTACTTACCGATGACGATTCATTGTAAATATCGAATTTTTTATTTACCGCAAACTGGTTTGTATTTAAAACTATCAGACTAATGTTTAATTTTGGATAATATTTGAAAAAAAACACAAAAAAAGATCAGCCGAGGCCGATCGGATGGTGAGCGAACACATTATATTAATGGGAAAATTTTCAGTTTCCTACCTCTTACCGTGTTGGCTAAGCGTTGAATACCAATTAGTCACCCAGCCAAACAGTTATATATATTGAGATTTATATAAATATTTTTGAACCAATATATTCTTATGTATGCAAATATTAATTAATAATTTATTTACATTTTTATCATGTTGAAAAAAAAAATCATTTATAATATTTTGTATTGTATTAAATAATATAATTTTTATCCAATTTTAAGGAACAAAAAAGGGCATAGTGGCACACGCTTGCAATTGTATTATTTATACAGCTTTTAAATATATAACAGTTTGCGATAAGTGGAAAATTCAATAATTACAATGAATCGTCATCGGTAGTTAGCAGTTATCATTTGCTCATTTCGGAGTTTTGACGATAGTTGAAAACTATCAGATATCGGTGCTGCACGACATTCGGCAATTGTGCTGCCAATGGGTTATTAGGGTCTTCTAAGTGTTTATATTTAATACCCTACATAATAAAGTCAAGCTTTATTAACGGAAACTGAATCCTGGTAAAAAAATAAGTGGATTAGACACCCCCAACGATTCATGTGGATATTATTTAGCTGGGTTAACCAAACCTAAGATTATCCTTAATTGCTAACCTGTTTTGAAATACGCAAAGCTTCGCCGCTGGATATGAAACCCTTCTGAAAACTTAGTAGAATAGACACTAACCCGACTCATTTGGACGTTTTTTATCTAGGATAACCTAAGCAAAGAAAAAATGTACAATTACCGTTATACCGATGAGCGGCACAAGTATCGATATACAAGGTATCGTAGTCGGTTTGGCGCCAGCAATTCCGCATTTTAAATTTGCTAACATCTTTTTCTATACTATAATAAACACTTTTTTGTAATATTTTATTACAATATTGAGAGGCAAGTCTGCTTCGTTTAACCGCGACCCAATTAGTGCATTGCAATTGTATTTAAAGTTCTTTGCTCTGTGGCCAAGCCAAGCAGAGCGTAACCGGGTCCAACAATGGCGACGCATGCATTAGGCCTAATTATGATTTTTTTATGGATTTAAGCCAAGCTGTTGTCTATTATTCCTAATTTACAATGGAACAGTTGGTGGCAGCACTTGTCCATTGAGCCAAGCCGCTCGGTTTCATTATAACAGCAGTTGGCTTGAGTTTTAACTCAACTTGAGCGCATTGTTGACTGCGAGTCGCGACTCAAATTCTGCGCAGCCAGCGGCGCCTTAAAGGGGAGAGTTACTGTTGCCTGCTGTTTGCCACCCCCTGAGACAAGGACTCTGCTGCGCAGTTTGACTCGGTTTTGTTTACAAATATTCCATCGTGCTTGCCGCTCGTAACGGAGTCCTTAGAGATTTGAAGGCGCGCCTGTTGCGTGCGCCCGTTGGACGTTGCCTTAATGGATTCTGCTGCGGCCTCGATTGCTCTGGTTGCCCCGATAGACCGGCTGCTCTTTCTGTTTGTGATAATCTAATTATGCGGTCTTCTCGAGCTGATTATCAGCTGTGCCATTGCCATTTTATATTCTCCTTATCAACTGGACAGTCCTTCGTCCTTCGTCCGTCCTCCGGCTGGCCATTACAAAATAACATAACAAAGATTTATTTACAAATACCATAATAAAAATCACAGCAAAACAATTAACTAAGCAATTTAGGCCAACAAATCAGATTAATTAAGAACAATAGCCAACATTCAAAAGCCAAATGACATTGGGCGTTTGGTATTTGGGACACTTGACAAAAATGGTCTATGAAATTTTAGTTCTCATGTCTCATATACGAAATTTCTGTCGACTGAGGGATACTCTGTAATCAGGTTTTCAAAAATTATATACAAAATTGGGGACAGTATTTTGATATTTATTGATTTAATGTTATTTATTAAATTAACTATCCTGAAATTTTCGAATTTTCTAATATTTCTTCGTTAAATTGTTTATAAAATTAGCCGAATAAATGAATAGTCAAAGTTCTGCGATGAGAAGGAAATATTTTTCCTTCTGCCCTTTTTTTTGTTATTAATTATTTGTAAATTACTTTTAAGATTCATATTGTCTTTAAGGAAATAAAATACATCCATAAACATAAACTCGTTCTAAGCTATTAGGCTTTTTTCGTAAGCCATAGATTGATATAGCTTCTAAAAATACAAAGAGTGCATGTACATTTTTTTATTATTATTTATTTTATTAATTTCCTTTTTTTGTCATTATTTAAAAGTGGACTTTTTTAAGGAATTGGAATTATCTTAACTATATAACTAACCAAAAGCTTCTATATAAACTATATAAAAGCCTCTCACTAAAGGCCATTATGTTAACATAATTAATAAGTGTAAAATAATTTGGTTTATTTTTTAAGCTATCTGTTATAAATATACACAAAGCAAATGCTTAAGAAAAATAATAAAATAAATTGGATTTAATAATCTTTGTATGACTAGGCGACATGAAAATGTGAACCTTTTTTATTTTCTCATTACTCACACTGATGTTGATAATGAGTATAATAGAAAACATTTAATTTTAATTGTTTAGTTGAAAAAGTTGTAAAATTAATGAAAGAGAATATAAAAAACTTTTATGAGTTATATTCTTTGCAAAAGGGTGAAAGCAACTTGTTCGTGGTTTTTCATAATAAATTTTTTCGCAATTCTGAGAACAATTTTCACTGCATATTTTTCATTCGCATAATGCTTAATCTTAATTCAGTTGGTTTGCTTTTCGCGTCCCGTGTTTCAGGCGAAAATTTCACTCAGGACATTCGAGTGGGCGGCCGCTGCGAAAGCGCTCAGAGTAAAATGGCAAAATAACTCATACGCCGTGTCGGCCGACGTTGGATACGTGTTCGGGTTTCAGTTCGTTGATTCTTTGGCTGTGGCGATACGGCTACGGGGCACTTGGATTGTGATTTGAATTGTAGAAAGCGCGCAGTTCGCATGCGAATGTCCTGACCGACGGTTGTGTAGCCGGCCCAGCATCCGAGCAACCGCATCATTTAAAAAACTCTTCGAAAACTGTTTTTGAAAATGTAAAGTAGCCACGAGTACTGGAAATAATATAATATAATATTCCTAAATACATACTTGTATCGTGAATGTTTTTCTTAACTATTTTTTTCTGTGCTGTAAAAAACGATCAACAAAAAACGGCGACAAAATCCAAAGTGTAGAAAGAAAGAAAAGAAAATTACAATAAATGTTATTAAATTTTATTAAATAATCTTGAGCGTGACAAATTGCTTGCGTCTAGTAGCTGTCACATCAGGGGCTGATTTTGGGCTCTGCGTATATATTCAAATCTAAACAGGTGAGTGCACCGCATAATTACCGCAAATTTCATTTTGGGGTGAGGCGTCGACTTTGCAAACGGTAATTGCATTACCTCGCCAACCGCGCTACCGCTTCTCAGCCCGAAAATATAAACAAGTAATAAAAAATGTTGCAGTCAGAAACTCATTACTTCCATTTACAGGTGGGAAGAAAAGGCTGATTAAAAAACAGAGTCTGCTTTAAAAAAAAAAACAACTCAACAATTTATAAAAAAGTTTGGAGTTTCGATTTTGAAAAGTGTCCATGCACAAAAATAATATTCATCTCTTTTTACTTTGATTACACAGCGAAATAATACCCTTCGAGTTCTCACATTACATTCATTCGTCGTTAGTTCGATTCAAATTAAATTTTGCGGTTACCCCAATCAGAGGCGATTTGTAACCAACTCAAAAGGTTGAGGAATGTTTTATTTGTTTTTTTTTTGTCAACCTAATTCAATTAGGTGCCCACCAATTTGTACCGCTTACATTTTACTTAGGGGCAAGGGAGCTGCCAGACCTCTCTCGGGACGGAAAGCTTCACGCCGTGGGTGTAGACAATATCTAAGACAGGAGCAGAGCTATTTAAATTCGCAGACGGAATTAAGCTCATTAGCATATTGTCGCCGGTCGGTCATCAAGTTCACGGGCAGATGTTCCAATTTCCCATTTTCCAGTTGCTAAGTTTTCCACTTGATTGATGAGTCCAGTTACAACCCAAAACTGCCGCCTCATACTCGGCGACAAGTCTCCAAATTTACCTGCTTCCGCTGCAGAGCTAGAGAAATGAAACGCATTTAACAAGTAGATGAGTTTGCCGTTTGTCCAGCGCCAATCAACATCCGCTTAAATCTTATGTACTATATTTCCTTTGTTCCTTCTATTTCGGTTCTCAGAGCATTCTAAAGCAAAACATTTGTGACTAAATACAAATTTGTAATGTATTTATTGTGAGGAAGACTTAGCCTTAGAAGATCCAACTAGAATTTGTAGATGTCAATACTGGGTAGAGATTAAAAATTTAGCCAGCAACTTCTACATGAAAATATGAACGCATTTTCACTTAAATCGTCAAATTAAAATAAAAAGTTGAATTGTATGATTAAAATATTAAATATATAAGACAAGCCAAGGCTTAAGCCAAAACCAGGGTTGAACAATGTGTATAGCTGGGATAATGAAACGAACCTTAAGGCTGGGAGCTGGTTCGAACCATAAACCAAATCCGTTTATTTGGGGCTACAGACCTGTTAAATAATGTGAAACTGGATCAAAAATTTTTGTCCCAACTGACTGATTGCTGATCAAAAGTCAGTAAATACACTTAAGTTTTTGAAATTTGTTAACAATTATACCTTGCGATTTTTATTATGAATATATCAAAAGTCTACGTTTTGCCGATAACTTACGGCCCACTTTAACGTCTCGCCAAAAACTTATTTTGTTTTCAATTATTTCTTTAAAATGTTGAGCATATGTATTTCAAATTTCCGACTGATACCGCATCCAGTTCAAAAGTTACCGATTTTTGCCAGAAACTTTAGCCAATCGAATCACTGTGCATAGCTGGACAGCTTCTTTGTGGCAAAGTCTTTGCCTCATGTGGTGTTAGAAAGGATTTTTGATATGTTCCAACCGCAAGTGCGGAAAATGATGGAAAAAGGTTCCAGCATCGGGCTCATCGGACTCATTTTCAATGGGGATCAAAGTAGTAAATTAAAGTTTTTCCTCGGGCGGAAAATTGATTGCAATGTGATGGGAACTGGCAAATACTCGCTAGCATAATAAACTTCGTAAAATTATAATTTATGATTTCACGGCTTATAAGAATAGATTAATTTTTGTGAAATGCTTGAAAATCAACCTGACGTCGGCTTGATTATACAGGTAAGCTTGTGAATTTGAAAACTAGAACACCAAAGTAGTTATCCAAGGTTTCGTTTCAAAGCAAGCTAAAGAAATTTCAGAGAATATGAACTCGAGTTAAACTGATTCTTGGAAAAAACTTGAAGCATTCTCCCTTTCTTATTCACTTAGCGTACAACTAGCGTACACTTAGCGTAACAACGTAAAATATTTCAGTAGTTATTATAAAATATGAGTAAGCGACTTGTTTCTACGCATTTTGCAATCTTTGAAACTAAATACATTAATAATGTATAAAATGTGCATAATAAATATCCATTTTTATTATTATTATCTCATTCTTATGAGATAATTTTGTGCAATCAGTATTTTTTTTCGAAGGAATCCGATCTTATAATATGCATTGTTTCTTTTGTTTCAGTTGAATTCGTTTATTATTTAATTTCAATATGCACCTGTTAACGAGCTTTAAGTTTTGGGAACGTGTCGCAGGTACTTAAGTGAATTTTAATTGGGTGAGGCTTGTTTATGGGAGGGGAGGGGTTAGGGGGATAGGGTAAATCAACCTTGAATATTTTTTGAACAAATTTCTCACTTACTCCTTTGACACGCGATTTCGTTTCATATAATGAAGAAAAGCTGAGAAGCATGTGATATGCATTTAATTTGAATTCCTAATTAATTTGCATTTAATGTGAGGACTTTTCGTCGAAATTTAATTGGCCTAATTAGGTACGACATGGCCGTAAATGTAACGTGAACATTCACGCATTAAGTGATTAAATGAAGACTTTGACCCATAGAGCGAAGCAAGTGAAACGAACTGAAGTGAAGTGAAACAAATGCGAGATATGAGAATTGCGCATTGAGTTAATGAGGCAAATGTCAAATTTGAATGGGTTAAAAAATGTCTTACAAGCGCGACAACAAAGGGAAAGTTGCTGCAAGGGAGCAGGGGGTATCCTGAATAAAGATACTCTTACTGGTTAAATGATTGAGCTGGCCGCAGTCTTTAAAGTTCATTCGAACGCTATGGAAGAATGAAATTTTTATAAACTTTTCCATAATGTCTTAACAAGAATTTAACGCTTCAGGCAAGGAAAAGCCAGCATACCCCCATCAAAAAAAACCCAAAAAAAACACAACCAACCTTCTACACTAAGGCAAACAGACCAAGATAAGGCATTAAAAACGAACAGCATTGGGTTGTTCGGCCTGCTGATGCCCTGTAGCTTGGCATGCCGAAATATTTCTTATGACTGTGGGCGTGACTCAAGTCTCATGCCGTTTCATAGCTAATACACCTGTCTTTGGCAGCCATATAGGGTATGCGTATGAAAAAGCGTCGCAAAGCGTTGACTTCTCTTGAGTCTTGCATCACTTTGGAAATAGGAACAGAACCGTAAAAATGCCATAACGCACAGTCAAAGCCAGCTGGAGCATGGGCACAGGTGGGCGTGGCATGAGGCTGACCGAAAAAAAAAACACACACACACTCGGCTCATCTGCTGGCTGCCGAGCAAGCCACAACCCGTTCCCACCCATTGTCTATCTCTTCCGCCTCGGCCTTCCTGTGAGCCCAGGCATTCACAATGTTTTGCTTATTGTCCTGCTGTTAGTTGGCATCGCAAGTGGTGTCCTCCCAGCAATTGCAGTTAGATAAGCGTATCCAGGCCCTCCACCCTTCCCCATCACCCTTCTCTACACCCTGCGACCCCTTTGTGGGATTTTTGTTCTCAGCTAAGCAGCTCAGCCAAGAAGATGCTGCATACACTGTGGCGCCAGTTAAAACAAATTTATATGTACGATATATATCTCAAATGTACGAGCACAAAGAATTCCTGCGATTGCACTGAAACTTTGCACTGACATGTGGCTTGGTCAAGAATCTGCAGCATGGCAATTTAAGGAAAAAAAAAAGGTATCTTAATTTTGGTGCATAATAAGCTACATGTTTTATGTCCTCGAAGTAGTTCAGACTTCGTACAAAAGTTTCCTTTTGCCTTCACTTTGAGCTGCGATGCTAAGAATTTTTTCACAAATGAAAAAGTTATATCTTTACAGTTTCTTTGAGGTCAACAAGTTCGCAAGCATCTTAGCCAATAATCAGTTTTTAAATTATCCTCATTGACCAGTTTGCAACAAATTTAAGTTGACTAAAGACTATAAAGAGACTATTTAATCCGATATCAAAGAAAACATAGTTGAATTCGAATTTTCCTTGAATATGTAAATATCATAAATTGTCTAGACGTTATATATATTTTGTTGTAAAGGCTTCCATATCCTAAAATCTTTTTAACAACAAGAATATAATATAAAGAAAAGAAGGCACAGGAATTAGGCCAAGAAATCGAATAGCGGTAATACGGGGGCGTAATAAAAGCATACATAGTATATACAAAATTATACTAACCAGATTTGATCACGCAAGACATGTTACGTAACGTGGCATAAATTGAAGAGCATAAAAGGAAACTAAATATTATATTGAAATGACAACATTATTTATTTAAAGCTCTCTCTTGCATTTAAGATTCTTTGCGTTTATAGACACAGATGAAAATAGTAAAAGTCACATAACGTCATGTAACGTGTAACTATTTGCTTGCAAATATCTTGGAGCCAAACTCTGTTAAAACAAAATAACTTAATATTTGAATTTTCTTTTGTGTTTTCCATGAACACCAGACGTACGATTCCAGCATGCATAGTCCAGAAAATACTTAGATATATTATTAAAACCCAGATAAAGTGTTTTATTTTTTAATGAATAAAACAAAAATGTTATTTTGTGGCAAACAGAATCCAAACATCAACTGGCAAAAAATATGTCAAGATTATGTACAGGCTTTCGATCTCTAAACTTCGTGTTCAGTAGATCGATCTATAATAAGTGATAACAAGTGATGCCATAAAAATTATTGTCCTTTGCTGACTGCTCAGATAAAAATCAACTGCAGCATATTTTATGCAGGCTGTGTCCAGTGCAAGTGAGAACGTCGCGTCTTACTGACTTCCTGATACTCTGCTCACAATGTAAAAGAGTTCGAATAGAGTCTGTTTAGTTGTCCAACCAAGAGAGTGTTTCTTGACCTGTGACTGTAGAAAGACTTAAGGCGTGGCAAAT